AAAAAAAAAAAGAAAAAAGAAAAAAAAAGGATTCAAACAAATAATTTCAAAAATGAAACAAAAAACAAACCAACACCACGAAAATACAAAGAACTCTAAGAGAATACTACACAAAATTATATGCCAACAAACTGGACAACTTAGAAGAAATGGGTAATTCCTGGGAACATACAATCTTCCAAAACTGAATCAGGAAGAAATAGAAAATATAAACAGACCAATTACTAGTAACAAAATTGAATCAGTAATCAAAAAATTCCCAAGAAATAAAAGTACAGGACCAGATGGCTTCACAAGTGAATTCTACCAAACATTTAAATAAAGAAGACTTAATACCTACTCTTTCAAATGATTCCAAAAAATAAAAGAGGAAAGAAAGCTTCCAAATTTATTCCATGAGCCAGAATTGCCCTGATACCAAAACCAAAGACCCTACCAAAAAAAGAAAACTACAGGTCAATATCCCTAATGAACATACAAGGCAAAAATCCTCAACAAAGTATTAGCAAACCAAATTCAACAATACATTAAAAGAATCATTTACCACAATCAAGTGGGATTTATTCTAGGAATGCCACAATGGTTCAATATCCACACATCAATTATAAATCACATTAACAAAATGAAAGTTAAAAAACATATGGTTGCCTCAATCGATTCAGAAAAAGCTTTTGACAAAATTCGACATCTGTTCATGATAAATTCTCAACAAAGTAGATATAGAGGGAACATAATTCAACATAATAAAGGCCATATATGACAAACCCACAGCTAACATCATACTCAATAGTGAAAAAGTGAAAGCTTTTCCTCTCAGGAACAAGACAAGGATGTCCACTGTTGCCATTTTTATTCAACACAGTACTGGAAGTCCTAGCTACAGCAATCAGAAAAAAAAAAAAAAGGTATCCAAATTGATAAGACATAAGACTGTCACTATTTGCAAATAACATGATACTATATACAGAACACCTTAAAAACTCCACCAAAAATCTATTAGAATGAATTCAGTAAAGTTATAGGATACAAAATTAATATACAGAAATCTGTTGCATGTACACTGATAATGAAGTAGCTGAAAGAGAAATTAAGAAAACAATCTCATTTACAATTGCACCAAAAAAAAAACCCAAAATACTTAGGAATAAATTTAACCAAGTAAAAGACCTGTACTCTGAAAACTATAAAATACCAATGAAAGAAATTAAAGATGACACAAATGAAAAGATACACCATGTTCATGGATTAGAAGAACCAATATTGTTAAAATGTCAACACTACCCAAAGGAATCTACAGATTCAATCCAATTCTTATCAAAATATCAACAGTATTTTTTTTAAAGATTTATTTCAGAGAGAAAGAGAGGAGGGGCAGAGGGAGAGGGAGAATCCCAAGCAGACTTCCCACTGAGCAAGGAGCCTGATGCAGAGCTCAATCTCATGACCCTGAGATCATGACTTGAGCCAAAACCAACAGTCGGTTGCTTAAGTGACTGTGCCACCCGGGCGCTCCAATACCAACAGTATTTTTCACAGAACTAAACAAATAATCCTAAAATTTATGTGGAACCACAAAAGATCCTGAATAGCCAAAGCAATCTTGAAAAAGAACAGTCAGAGGTATCACAATTCCAGATTTCAAGACATAGTACAAAGCTGTGATAATCAAAACAGTATGGGACTGACACAAAAATGGACACATAGATCAACTGAACAGAGAGCACAGAAATAAACCCATGCTTATATGTTCAATTAATCTATAACAAAGGAGGCAAGAATATACAATGGGGAAAAGAAAGTCTTTTCAATAAGCTGGGCAGCTACATGCAAAAGAATTAAACTGGACCACTTTCTTACACCATACACAAAAACAAACTCAAAGATCCAAATGTGAGACCTCAAACCATAAAGATCCTAAAAGAAAACATAGGCAGTAATCTCTTAGACATCAGCCTTACCAACATTTTTCCAAGTATGTCTCCTCTGGCAGGGGAAATGAAAGTACAAATAAACTATTGGGACTACACCAAACTAAAGAACTTTTGCACAACAAAGGAAACCGAAATGAAAAGACAACTTACTGAATGGGGGAATATATTTGCAAATGATATATCCAATGAGGGGTTCATATCCAAAATACAAACAAAACTTCAACAACTCAATACCAAAAAAAAATTATAATCCAAATAAAAATGGGCAGAAAATCTGAATAGACATTTTTTGAAAGAAGCCATACAGATGGCCAATAGACACATAAAAGATGCTTAAAAAAAAAAAAGATGCTAAATATTGTTAATCATGAGGGAAACACAGAATCAAAACCACAGTGAGAAATCACCTTATACCTATCAGAATGGTTAGTATCAAGATAAGAAATAGACAAGTGTTGGCAAGGATATGGAGAAAAGGGAACCCTTGTGCACTGTTGGTGGGAATGTAAATTGGTGCAACCACTGTGGAAGACAGTGTAAGGTTTCCAAAAAAAAAAGAACATTAAAAATAAAAATAACATACGATCCAGTAAAATTCCACTACTGGGTATTTAACCAAAGAAAATGAAGACACTAATTCAAAAAGATATATGCACTCCTATATTTATTGCAGTATTATTTATAATAGCCAAGTTATGGAAGCAACCTAAGTGTCTATCCACATAAAGTCCTAGTATATATACAATGGAATATTAGTCAGCTATAAAAAGAAATGATATCTTGTCATCTGAGACAACATGGATAAACCTAGAGGGTATTATGCTAAGTAAAATAAGTCAGGCAGAGAAAGACAAACACAATATGATTTCACTCATATGTGAAATCTAAAAATCAATACAAACAAAATGGAAACAATCATAAATACAGAGAACTGATAGCTGTCAGAAGGGAGGGCAGTGGTGGGGGGATAGGCAAAAAAGGTGAAGAATATTAAGAGGTACAAACCTCCAGTTATAAAATAAGTAAGTCACAGGAATGAAAAATACAGCATAGGGAATACAGTCAATCATATTGTAATAACATTGTATGGTGACAAAATGCAACTACACTTATCATGGTGAGAGCATTATGTATGGAACGGTCAAATCACTATGTTGTACACCTAAAAGTAATATAACTGTATGTCAACTATACTTCAATTTTTACAAATTCAGGTTTGCATCAAATTGTGATTCAACTCACCAGGTGGTAGTGGTTCCATATCGGCATCAAACACCAGTAAGTCTTGTTCTCCTTCCCTGAACTCAACACGGAGAATGTCACTAAGAGCTCCAACAAGTTCTGTCACATTTAAGAAGCCCAATTTTTTTGGTGAAAGTTGCTCTTTAAAGATTATCTGTCAAAAAAAAAAACATAAAACATTAGATAAAAGGAATATAACATATACAGATGCCCTTAAACAATGTCCCTTAATTTGGACTTAGTCAATATGTGAGTTACCTTGAGACCTACAATCCCTTCCAGGCCAGTTTCAAGTTCCTTTTAAAGCATATGGTAAATTGAAGTGAAAATCAGGAGGGCTTTTTACCTCTCATTTTTAACAATATTTGATTATAAAGCAAAAGTCTTAAAAAAAGGGGGGAGGAATGCACAAAATACAAAAGTCATAATAAAACTGGCTATTTATTTTCAGATAAAGAATTCACTACCACCTTCAACATGCAATAAAGTAATACTATTTTAAAATACTTCCTTAAAATTTTATGATTTCACCCTAGATGTTGAGATTAATAAGCAGGTGTCAATGTATCTCCTACAGTATTGTTTGATTTTCTTGCCTTGCAAAAGAAGAAAAATTATACCAAATATAGAAAATATATATATAGGATACATATGAAATATGTTTGGTTTAAACTGCACAATGAATTGGAAGTTTGCCCTTGTTAGTGAGATCCCCCATTAAAGTGTTCAAATTCTTAAACTTCTGTCTTCCTAACCAAGGTAAAGCAGTTGAGCTAAACATAATTATTTTTCTGTTCCTCCAACTAGAATAGGAAATAAACACTTGCTCTGACTTAATCACCTTGGGGAAAACTGACAGGCACACAGAGGCAAACACTCTGAAAGAACTAACTCCTGACAGAGGACGGGACTGCTGTATACCTTCTTGTTCATGGACACTATGAGACCCAATTCTACTCTTTATCACTTCTCCAAGACACTTGGAAAACGGGGGCCTAGCATCAGCCAAGTCATGGCTTTAAAGGGTTGTTAATATCACATCTATAGCTAGTCATGAATATCCCGAGAGAGAAAAGTTTGGTAGAAAAAAGGGGAAGGATGATGGTGAATGAGACTTGTATCTCTACTTCTTTGCACATTACATATCATGGCTTCTTTTCTTTTTATGTTTGTTAGTCTCTTTAATGGTTTATCTTCTCTGTAAAGGGCCTAGTACTATGAATATGCAAGTCAGTCAAACACAAGACTAGGCTGGGAAGTATTTCATTAATTTTTTTAAAGCATTTTTATTTTATTTTATTTTATTATTTATTTGACAGAGAGAGACACAGCGAGAGAGGGAACACAAGCAGGGGGAGTGGGAGAGGGAGAAGCAGGCTCTCTGCTGAGCAGGGAGCCCGATGCGGGGCTTGATCCTAGGACCCTGGGATCATGACCCGAGCTGAAGGCAAACGCCCAACGACTGAGCCACCCAGGCGCCCCTCATTAATTTTTTTAATACATGATATTTAGGAGTCTCAAAAAAGTATACAGCAAAACTAAGTCTCTGACCCACTCCCAACCTTCAGTGGCCCAGGAGATCACATCCCTGGAGGGAACCAATCATTCCAAGTTTCTTGCATTAACCATCATCCTCAGTTGCTTGAGCAACTATCTAGAAACTGTCAAAATCTAAACACACATCATGCTTCAGCAGAATAGACTATATCTGTTGTACATTTTTCAGTTAATACAGAGATAATCCCATATCAGTACATGACACAGTTGAGTTTTGCTTTGTGATTCTGAGAATCAGTATTAAGTTGGTTTTGTCCACTGACTGATATGTCAGATATATTTCTTCCTAATTCCTTTGTTATGTCTCCAGCTTTACAGACTCCCAACCATAAGCAAAGAAGTAATTGATGTATTTTTACTCCCACTCTCCTTCATTTCTCTCTTCCACCTCCAACTCAATTTTAACTTAGAGTTTAAATTTATGCCCTCTAATATATGAATATATCCTATTACATGATTTCATTTCCTCACCGTGTGGATTTTGCAGATGACATACTCTAGTGCAAAAACTATTTTCTGCATTGGTAGCTGGATCAAAGGCTTGGTCAGACTCATGCTCTATGACTTCAAGTGATGCTGTGTTTATAAAGAGGCACATAACGTCTGGTTGTCTCTTTTTTGGTGGTGTCTGGAGCCATTCCTGGTCCATACCTAGATCCACTATTTTATTAAAGGTTTTTACATAGTGAAATTCTATCAATTCTTTTTTGTTACTTAGTTGGAACATTATATAGGTATGCTCCCCTCATCTGCTACCTGGTTACCCAGTCATACCAGTTCATTTAGCAAAGCCAGGATAAGTGATTCGCTCTTTATCATTTTTCAAGAAAATAAATTGGTTCTCTAACATCTTCTAAGATGACCAGTTTTTAATATCATAAGAACTCACAGAATTAAACATATTTGATGAACTTCAAACCACTGCACGTATTATCATCACTGATACATGAAATAACTCTTCAAGCGGATTCCTAAGTCCTTCTGATGTGAACCTAGTCTTTAATAGCCTCCTTATTAGTCTGGAATGATAAGATATTCCAGGTTCATCATATCATGCCAAATGATATGATATTCCTGGAATATATTATATTATAATATGTTTATACAATTAAAATTATCCCATAATTGCTTCCACATATGCCATAATTATTAATATGCCCCATACCACATTACACAACAGTCTCAAAATTGATTAACAGTACTAACATTACCACTATCAATATAATAAAAGCAACTAAAATTTTTTGCCTATGCTGACCCCTTATCATTTTGTGGCATTGTTCTTTATCTACATTGTCAGACTATATTGCCATTACATACTATATTCTCTCCTTCTAACCCTCATTTGGTCTTAGTTTTACAAGTAGCACTCACTGTCAGTTCTTTTGTCAATATCTCTCAACAATTCTAGTTTTCTGAAGTTCATTCTCCAGTAGACTCCTTGAGATGGACTCAAGGGAACAAGAGTTCTTGAATCCTTGCATGGTGATAACAGCTTCTCTGGCGCTCTATAGTTGAAGATTAATTTTGCTAGCTATAAAATCCTTGGCCTACATTTTTTCCCTTGAGTATATGAAATAGGTTACTCCCTTTTCTTCTAGCATAAAATACTGCTGTGAAGATACCCATAACCTAATTCTGTCTCCCTTATAAGTCACTTGCTCTTTTTGTTTAGAAGCCCAAAGGATTTTTTTTTTTTAAGTCCAATAATTTGATGTGGGTCTTTCTGGTGAACATTCTCAGATATGTCATGTGTTCTTTCAATACATAGTTTCAAATCTTCCATTTCAGTAAAGTTCACTCAAACTATAGTTTTCAGTATTTGTTCTGTTCCACTCTTCAGTTTTATTTATATGTTGGCTCTTCTTTGCATGTTTTCAAAGTCTGTTACTTTCTCTTAAATCTTTGCCTTTCTTTGTTCATTTTTTCCTCACATATTCTTATGAAAAATTTCAAATACTCTCTGTCAAATAAATAAATAAATAAATAAATAAATAAATAAATAAATAAATAAAATCTTTAAAAAAGAGAGAGGGCACCTGGGTGGCTCAGTCATTAAACGTCTGCCTTTGGCTCAGGTCATGATCCCAGGGTCCTGCTCCAGCAGGAAGCCTGCTTCTCCCTCTCCCACTCCCCCTGCTTGTGTTCCCTCTCTCACTGTGTCTCTCTCTGTCAAATAAATAAAATCTT